ACACTCATTCTGGACTTTCAGGGCTGTACCTGAAATGGTTTTCATAAGGCTTTTCTCCAATTGATGTTTACTCAATGGATCGTTGCTCGAGTTTGACGAATTCTGCATTGAAGATCCTTGAAGGTGTGAAAGTCGACACAAAAAAGACTGCCTTTTTTGTTGCTAAGTGACCAGTGGACGAGCGGGCGACACACCGGTTGGAAGCGGCTTGTCCTGGCATTGAAGATCCTAAACAGATCCTCAAACCTTGAGGGGCACAGGATTCTTGCTGGCAAAGGATGAAAACCTTGTCTCACCCTACAAGAAAATGAAGCCTGGTATGGTCCACTCGTTGTTATCTGCAAAGCTGCTTGACATGGAGATCCTCACAGAAATTCCTGTCACGTGACCTAGCTCTCGGTTTTTGCCGGTGGCTTTACAAGATGCCCTTTGATGTGCAAGCACTCATACTGGTATCCAGAGCATAAGTGCAGATCAAGCCCGGGTCATATCCCTCACGTAATGCTGGCACACATGAAGGAATGCAAACCATCCAAGCCTGCAGCAGGCCCAACCAGGAGAGGAACTCCAGGCCAACCTCTGCGCGGATTAGAACAAGCAATTCCAGAACATCCTTTGCGTGCCCAGTCCTGTTTGTCATCCTGCAATTATCCGCAAAGCCGTAGAACTTGGACTGAAAGCCAAAATGTCTGTCCGAGAAACAGTGCCACCTCAGCCTGCTTGGCATCCAGTTTCTCAAAAGTTTTTTTGGGAAAAGCTCCGGAAAGGCCTTGGGGATCTCCCACCCACATCTCTTCCAGTCCAGTCCGCACGCCCCGACGACCTCCGACCGCCAGGAGTCGCGCCTTCGCCCACGCGCACGCGCCACCCGCGGTGTGAGTCGCTCCCCCGCCTCTGGGTCGCTCCCCGACTGCGTGAGTCGCTTCCGAATCAACGAGCTCAGGGACTCGTCGAGCCTCGGGAAGCAAGGAGTCCGAAGCAACTCGCGTGAGTTTGCGGTGGTCTTCACCGCTAAGGGTTCTCGTCACTTAAGGGTGGTTCTTGGTTCAACCAACATGGTCAGGTGGGAACACCGTTTCTATATGTGTATATATAATTATATATATAGTGGCTTCTGTCCATCAGAACGGAGTATTCTGTTGAGATCAACGTATAACAATGTGTTGCCGTCATTGAAGGAGCATGGCCGGCACTCTGCCAAAGACGCTATTCACAAATATTGACGCTTCTCAACGTGATCATCCTGCTTGTGGTTTGCTTGATATGTTTTCACTTTCGTGACAAGTATCATATCCTCATTCAGAAATATATATATATATATATCTTTGCAAAATATATATGTTGGTTTCTTTTGTTCTGTGTCAGGAGGCATGTCGGGATGTCACCTTCCTTTCAAGCCAGCTGTTCTGTGTCATTCGACACCACTTTCCCAGCAGGGTTCAACTGCTGAAATTGTTCGACATCCGTCGATGCTGGCACCCATGATCCATTCGGTAAGCCACAATGATCAGAGAGGCTGGAAACCGTAGCAAGTGTTGCATGGGGGCCCACCGGTTTCCAGACCAGCTCTTCATTGGGGCCTTTTTAGACTCAGTGTGTTTTGCAGCACTCTCACAACTGAAAGGATTCAGACACGGTTCCCAAAGAACGTCAAGCTTCATGATGCTAGAGGAGTTGTGGAGCTTATTCTACTCACAACAATGTCGCATGTGGCTCACAAAGCATCTGCACAGGTGGTGTTGTCAAAGCACCGGTGCATGTTTGGTACAGGAGCTGTTTGTTTGCATCCAATTTGTTCAATGCTGGCTGGATGTCCTGGTACAGCAGCAGAGTTGTTTATTGTAGACAGAATACAAATGTTTAAAGCATGAATCATCAGAAGTTGTTTTCTTCAAATCAAAAAATGCTTGAACACACCCACGAGCAATGATCAGTGCCCATCGGTAGCCAAGGTCCACACCGGCTTGCCTGAGAAGAGTCTAAAAAAGAAGCGGGGGACAGACCCGTCTGAGCTTTTCCAAGGAGCTGAGAGTGTGGTAGAGGCTATGAGCTTTTCGTTCGAGCACCATTGATGGTTGAACATCGCCCAAATGGTTGAAACTTGAAGAATCAGGATCCCTGCAAGCGAGTCAGTGTTCCTGCAGCTGTGCAGCTGTGGAACTTCAAACGATCAGCTTCCCAGAACTTCGAACGGAAGACCTACTTCTAACATCTTCTAACGGCATCCCCACCTCGTTGCCTCCAAACATCACTTGCTCAAGCCACACGCGCTGCGAGCCTGGAGGGCATGTCAGGACTTCCTCCCGTGACATTCTCCAAAAGTGGACTGAGAAGCTGACTGAGAAGCTGATTCTCCAAGCTGACTGAGAAGCTGATCATCTTCTTTCATGCGTCAACACGGGCGAAGATCTTCACATCGGTTCTCATTCTCACACACGTCGGCACCTGGGTCAGCGAGTCCTGGGATTGGCCCCACCTGCAGAAGGCCTCAATGAGGCACAGGGGGTGCTTAAGGAACTGGGGCAAAGGAAACTACTGTATATGTGTCTCGATTAAAACCATGTGACACCATATGAAATCATACCATATGACACCTGGTGAGCCAGGTGTCCGAATTCCAGAACCGAAGGCCCCAGCCTAGTCGAGAAAGGGTGAGCATTCGCTCGCAAAAGCCTCTAAACCTGGCTCTGGCGGCTAGAACGCAAGGGATACTGCTATTAAAGTGTTAAAGTGTTCAGATCCGTTTCCTTTGGCCACCGAAAATCTGCCCTTTCCCAACCGTGTGCCTAATCAAGATGTTCCAGCCAGTTCGCCCTTGCTAAAGAGTCTGCAATGCCAAACACCCCAAACATACAGACAACCAGAAGGAGTTGTTCTTCCATCCAAGAAGGATGTAAAGTGCATTCTGGCTTCGAGCTCAGTTGGCGCCTCAAAGTGCCCCGGATGAAGGTGGGGATGTCTGCCAGGCCATACAACCTGTGCCGGACGTAAGTGTTCGACTGAGCTATGTGGGTCGGCATGAAACATCAACAGTACTATAGCATTAGAAGAAACTTACACCCACAGACTGAAGTAGGTGGTCAGAAATATTCCACCATTGGCAATTGGACAAAAACATGAACTTATAATGAAAAAGGGCAACAACAATGACACCTAAATGATCACAACATCACAGCAACAAACAAGAAGATGCTGACAAACAAGTGAGACCACAAAAATCCAAGTGACAAACAAATGACTGAGGCAAATTACAAACACATGATAACCATTGATAACCTGATCACCCAAACAGTAGACATACATGTTTTGTTTCTTCTAACTATCTCAATATGAAGACAACAAAAAAAGAACGAGTATCATCGGAAAGTGGACGGCCCGGGCGCCTTTAAGTTAAGAAATTCCTTCTTGAAGGGGCCCAAGTCCATGAAACTGTATGTTCCTTTCAGTTTATCTGTTGCTTCTTCCGCCATCGTCCGCCCAAAAAATGAGATCAGTCGGATTGGGCTTCGTCCTAGGACAAAGTCGTCCTCCGCGTATCGTGGAATGTCGCGCATTGTCGGATCCCAGCGGCTCCGCAAACATCGTGGAATCACGGTTGGGTAAGACCTGAGCAGCGGGATCACGGTTGGCTGAGCAAAAGGGAACCACCGAATTGAAATGGCGCCCCGTTCGTAGCGTCCTTGCTCCTAGTAGCGATGCCAGGAGCCCCTAGTATTCCACAATATCACAATGCCAATCAGACTTCATGCTCGAACATTCAACCATCTACTTCGGGGCTGCGCGTCCAATGCGAAGGCGTTGTTGATGGTTATCGGCTTGCCTCAGTGCTGGGCGGAATGATAAAAGTCCGGCGTACGCGAATTCATTCAACATGGTGCCTTACTGAACTGTCCGTCCAAATCACCTCATTCAAATTTGAATCCCAAAGCAAGCTCCCCACCCTGGGCCAGCAAATCTTCTCCTGCAATCTCACGCAAAAGGCCATCCTCCTCATTCGTGGCCAAATGCAAGAACCACTTTTCTATACTTTTCTTCTCGCAGCTCTAACTTTACAATCCATTCATGACTACCAAGTCATGCTTCACAGAAATGCAGACTTCATCAGACTTCACTATCTCAAGCACTCTCCTTGAAGCGAGCTGAATTCTGGGAGGCAACCAAAACACCCCGCGGGCTCCAGCTGAATTTGTAGCCTCGAATGACTGGGTCCGAAACTGGCGGCACCGTCCAAGTGGACCGTGCTGTCTTCTCTTGGACGGTCGCCGAAAAAACGGACGCCCCACCGGTCACGCGACGCTGCGTCGCTCCGCACCGAGGCGCCGATGGGATTGGATCCAGCCGCTTCGGGCGAAGGCAAACCACCACAAAGAGAGGCGAAGCGGAGGATTTCACTGCCAGTGCTCCTGCCATCGTCAAACAGAAGCTGCTTGGAGGCAGGTTCTCGGTTCTAGAACCATTGAAAAGGGAGCAAAGTGGCAGGTGTCTGTTTGAGGTTTAACAGGGTCTGCAGGCAAGAAACAGTAAAGCCGTTCAACAAAGGAGGCTCACCATATTGCTCATGAAAGCTGTGTATACAGGCGATTGTACCAACAGTTTGCTCCTCTTTGTGGTTCAAAAATGTTCACACGGCCATTTCTAGTGTGGTTGTTTGTAGTCTTGCTTGAGCAGCTCGAGATACCCAAGAAAGCCTGAAGCCGTTTTGCGCATCCGCAAGTCTGGCATGGGAAGCAAAATTGAATAGAGATCAAGCCTGATAGAAAGCCAGCTTCAAGCCAAACACAATCAGCCACTGTGTTTTCAAGGTTTGAAGCCCTGTGGAGCCCTGTGGATGACGTGTCCTGGCTGTGTCGATCATGCTCATGGCACTCAGGTGATCGATACCTTGGCATCATCTGGCATAAGCCAAAGAGATTGCCACCATAAAGACCACGAGCATTGTTTGAAAGGACGGCCACGATATACAGGTTAGAAGGCAAGCATGTGTAGTTAGGTCGATCCCATCTCCAATCTCCAGTGGAGCACACAAATGCTTCTTGTTCCTAGTAGTATGGCCAGGAGCCCCATGCTAAAAAATGGTTGTTCGATCCATGTGTCACCTCACTCAATGTCTGCTGAGGTGCCAGGATCCAAACCCACCTGGAGCGCAGAGGACGACCCGAACTTCGGAACGCAGGACACGTTCTTCGCTGTCTTCCTCTTGTTTGTGCTGCATTTGTTTTGCTAGGTTCAGGCCACACGGCCACCAAGCCATGTTGAAGTGGAAGTTCAAGTTGGAGGTGGCTGTCTGCTAGTTCAAAACAGAAGGTTGCTCGCGCAAACATGATTTCTGGCACTCGCCTCATTCAGGATAAGCACGCCCGCTTTTTCAGCTGCTTCATGAAGGGCAGCCATCTCTGGACTTACCTGGATCGTTGCATTGGAGGAACCAGAAGCTAGTTGCCCTGAGCGTAAATCACTGAAAACAAGCGCTTTCAGAGCAAAGCCGAGCCACGTACGACGCAGTAACCATGGAGACACCATGTTGAATTGCCATCTTTGCAACGCCCACGTGCATGTGCGCAGGTAGAAGTGAAATCACCAAATCCGATTCCTGCAAGATGAGTGATCTAAATAAAGGCACCCTCAATAGAGAAACCGTGCCATGCAGCAAACATGGTCCAACTACATAGTCAAAGCAAGCTCACAGCTTCGCTATCACACAGTCCTAAGTCCCACTTGGATTCTCAGATATGCTCAGGGTATAATTTCTGGTTGAGCAAGAACTCAATGCCAACAATCGTTGAACAGTGAATACGGTATCCGGAGTATACCTATATAGCATCATATGTAAATAATGTTTCATTGCAGTTCTTTTGATTGCTCTCGTGACAGCATTGTTTCATATACAGTATAAACACGTACGGTGTACACTCATGTTTGCCCTCACACACATTCCTGCTTAAATCTGCCTTCACAAAGGTCTCAAGCTTCTCAGCAATCGCTGAATCATGGTCAGCTGCGGCAATATCCAACACCTGAGGTTTGGAGTCTTGGCTTTGCGCCTTCGCGGCCTTTACAACGATTGAAGCTTGGACAATTTGGAGATGTCCTCTGTTTGCCAAGTTTGTCCTTGGAGCCGTATTGATTCACCCGCCTCAGTCTTCACTCGGCCAAGACCTGGTCAGACAGTGGAGAAAGGATAATGTTGGGCGTCAAACTCAAATGGCATCCAAGGTATTTGCTTGCCTTGTTCCTTGCTCTACGGATGGAATGCTTGCTGTAATCACAGCTGGCGAAGGTCTGAGTCTATGTGTAGACTTTGCGATTGCTTTGTTCAGTCTGATCCATGCCCGCCTGGGAGACGCCTTAGAGCGTTGAGCTCCTTCTGCTCCACACTGGCCACAACGAGCTCAGTGGGTTTTCGTGCCAAGTAGGCGATCAAGGGAGAAGCCACATGCCCAGACCCCAAGACCAGGACCTCAGAGCCAGGACGACGACGTGAGGTAAGACTAGCAGACTAGCGGACTAGCTCCCAGCTGAAATGCTTGTTTGAAAAGCATCGACCTGGTTTCGCCTGTTTTTGATGTATCAATCTGATGCCCACCTTCTTGGTCAGGTCTGCGGACACAGCAGGATCGGCTGCATCCTGCAAGAATAAGGCGAGGAAGGAAGCTTCAACTACAAGCTATTGCTGGGTACGATGAATTACGAATCTGGTGTCATATTCTGAAACGAACTTTTAGCATACCTCCATATTTCTAGCATGTCTAGCCTGCTTTAGGCTTTCGCCAGCCGATGTACATTCGTTCTAAGACCACACCCAACCCGGCGCAGCGGCACAGCGGTGCCTGCACTCGCAAGGCACCTTGGGTGGCACGGCGGTAGGTCACATGGGACTCCGCAGCCGCCGTCTCTAACCTCGTGCGCTTCGGCCGGCCGCGACCTAACCGCGCGTCCGACCGTGCGTTCGGCGTGATCACCGGTGGCTGCGTTTGTTCCTCCTGGTAGCGTAGCGTCCTTGTTCCTAGTAAGGCCAAGAGCCCCGAACGTAGCGTCCTTGCTCCTAGAAGCTCAAAAACCGGTCACGCTCGAAACTCCTTTGAAGGGATGCGATGAAATAAAACTCCAAAGCACAGCTGACAAGGGCTTTCAGGAAGTCTTTCAGTTGGTGAATCAATGATGACATATACCTTAGCCTTAGATGGGTCCAAGGAACGCCATCTTTGGAATGGAGAGTGCCAGTGCTGTACTTCGCATGAAGCAAATGGAAGTCGAGGACTCTAGTTCACCATGTCCCCAGACGTATCTTGCATGTCGATTGTGTGGACCAGTGGACAACGTGCGGTTGGAGTCAAAGTCTTCACCCCGAGCTGTGCTTCTTGCTTCTTGGATGGTCGGCTGGACACCACCCGAAAACCCCAAGGCAAATTCGATCAGGCCACAACAACAGGGGAACTGCATGCACTGCGACCTTTTGAAACATGTCCAGCGTTCAGTTTTCTATACCTGTAGTTGTTAATATCTGTAGTAGGCGTGCAATGTTGACACCTTGCTCGAACTGCCGACCAAGAAATACTAAAAATCCTTGAACCTCCATCCGTGGAACCAGGATGCATTCCTACATTCCTTTTTGCTGCAAACAAACATCACCTGACCTGGGCATGCCCACTTGACCACCAGTGTCTCCAAGCTCTTCTCGGAGCTGGCCATTACCTCGGGCGTCAAGTGGCAAGACTACAATGCAGAGGTCTAAGGAACCTCAGTGAAAGTCATTCAAGGAATGAAAGTTAATCATGCCTGCGGTGGACCTTAGTACACTCCAAAACTTATTAGAAGTTATTGGATTCGCCTTCCGAGTGGGAATTCCTCCGCCGGAGTTCCAAATTGAACCACTGTAGGATTCCAAAAAGAACGCATTGTGACCCATGCCCATGTCCGTGTCCCATGCGTGCACTTCTAGGTTTTTGCGGTGTGCGCTTCAGCTGCTTCTTGCAGCTCCAATCTACAGAGGTTGAACCAAGTCTAAGCACAACTCACAAGCCAGGCGGATTCAGCCAGATACAGCTGCCGAGCTGGACATCTGCAGCGGATGTGATGTGCTCGCCACCGAATGGCTGCAGCCGACTGTGTACCCCAAACCCCCCGCCTGAGCCTGAGGTCGAGACCATCATGGAGCAAAAGCTTTCATCGTTGACGGTCCTTCCCAGGTCCAGCCTGGATAGTTAACGGTCGTGACATGAGTCCATTCACTCGCAAGGAAAAAAAGGCGACACACCCAACCAGGAGAGTTGGTGAAGGCATGAGTCATTCAGAGCGCAGCTTGTTTGCTTATTTGTCTCTCTCTCTCTCTCTCAGTCTCTTTATATAAAATAGTTACATATATATATATTTTTCCACAATATATTCCATTAAGTTATACTGTATTGCAATTGTAGAAAGTTCTTTCAGAAGCGTCTCAATTGCACAAAAGAACGGATGGTGGATTCACCTGACGCTCGGATCTTCCCTCAGAGTCTCCGGCTCTGAGGCTCTGACACCAAGATCTGCATTCGTGCCACAGACTCTTCGCACATGTCTGCGACCCGGTTGATCAGCCGCCTGGCCAAACGTCTCAGACGGTGGACATGTTGAGAAAGGCCTCGTTGCTTGGTGTCGAATCCGCATGAATCCGCCGACCCCAAAGGACTAAGCTCGCCACGAATCAAACAAATGCCCAGTAAACTCCAGCGTGCCTCAGACATTCATAACACAGCATCGGTACTTGAATGTCAAGCTTCTGAAAGAATGCCACTGGGAGTCTTGATGTGCTGTATGTATATCTGTGGATGCTGCATGTTATGAGCCTTCTGTCAATTCTGACAAGCTCCTACATGGTCTTAATGTGCTTTAATCAAGCGAGACTAGAATCTAGAACCTTAACCACATCAGTGAATATCAGCACAGCTCTTTTCCCAGGCCGTGTCGAACATGCCTTGATGACTCCTTAGCGCAAAGGAGAGTCAGTGTAGTTCGCCCAATCTCCCCATGCACTTCCAGTGAGACCATCTTGAAAGAACATGCCAATGATGGCCATCATGGCCAAGCGACCATTGGCCAGCTCAGCGTTGAGCTTCTTCTTGCGGACCTCGGGGTCGGCGATGCCACTGTTCATTACGCCAACGGAGCGGAGTCCCAGGAATCCCGAGCCGTAGTTGCCTGGCTCGCCATTCACCTCCTCGTTGTAGACGTTGAGCTCCACGATGCCAGCAAAGCCCACAATCTGCAGCCAGCCCAGAGCTGGAACCTTGGAGAAGGCACTCAGGCCATTGGGCACATCTGCAAATTTGATGTCCAAGAACTTGGACAAATAGCCCGGGAACCTCCAATACTCCGGCAAGATGTAGCCGATGGTCGCAAACATGGCGACACGGCCATGCTTCAACTCGACCTCTCGTCGTCTCTTGTAGTCCGATTGGTTGCCGCTGGTGGAAAGCCCCAAGGGATCCCAGAAGCCCACAGGAGGCTGGACACCAGTCTCGTTCTCGAAGGCCCGCAAGGGGGAATCGGTGTAGTTAGCCCAGTCACCCCAGGCCGAGCCGGTCAAACCATCTTGGAAGAACATGCCAATGATGGCCATCATGGCAAGTCGTCCATTGGCCAGTTCCGCACTGAGCTTGCGCTTTTTGGTCTCCGCATCAGCAGAGCTAATGGCCTTCCATCCATAATCACCTGGAGTCCCGTTGTATTTGTACACGAAGAGCTCGTAGTACCCGGCAAAGGCCACAATCTGAGCCCATCCGTTGCCCGGAACCTTGGCGATGGCCGCCAATCCATTGGGCACGTCATCGAACTTCAGGCCCAAAGATGGGGACAAATATCCTGGCCATTTGAAGTACTCCGGGACAATATAGCCCATGGTGGCATACATCGCCACGCGTCCGTGCTTGATCTCAGTCTCCCTGCGGCGCTTGAAGGTCTCCATGTTTCCATCCCTCGTGTAGCCCACGGGATCCCAAAAGCCCACCGGAGCCTGGATCTCAAAATGACAATAAAATATTTACTAGTAGCTTCTTGTTACTACAGGTGAAACGATTCCCAGTGTGTTTGTTTAAGAAGAAGTGTGTGTGTGTATATATATATACATATAATTACATATATATATATTAATATAGAGAGAGATTGTTTAAAGAATAAAAAGAAAACGGTGCCTGGACTCCCAATTCCTCCTCAAAGGCCCTCAAAGGAGAATCAGCGTAGTTGGCCCAGTCACCCCATGCAGAGCCCGTCAAGCCGTCTTGGTAGAACATGCCGATGATCGCCATCATGGCCAAACGACCATTGTTGAGCTCTGCGGTCAAGCTCTTCTTCTTCTTTTCAGGATCATCAATCTTCTTGCCAAAAGGAAGGCCAAAGGCTCCGTAGCCATAGTCACCCAGAATTTCATCTTGAGCCTTTTGCAGGTTGGTCACCTCAATGATGCCAACAAAGGTGACGATCTGCAACCAGCCTGCCAGAGGCACAGCAGCAGCTCCCTTAAGGCCGTTGGGAATGTCAGTGAAGGCTAAGCCCTGCGAAGGCGAGCAAAGACCGGGAAAGCGATAATATTCTGGCACAATATAGCCAATGCAAGCCAGCATGGCAACACGGCCATGTTGAATCTCTACGATTCGCCGGCGCTTGAATTGCTGCTTCGCCACCTCTGGGTTCTCGAACTTGCTAAAGCCCAAGGGATCCCAAAAACCCAATGGAGGAGTGACACCGAGCTCCGTCTCAAAAGCTCTCAAGGCGGTGTTTTTGCTGTTCTTTCTGGCCTGGCTTACCAAGACTGCAGCGCTGCTCAGCGCCACTGCTGCTGCCGCATTCGAGCTGAGACCAGAAGAAGTCTGGCTGCGCACCTGGCCCCTCAGCGCAGGTGTAGTGCTGGTGGCTTTGCTGCCGATGCCAGGTGCTACGAATGCCACACCTCCCACAGCAGCCACAGTGAGAGCAGCACCAGCCTTGGATGCCATCTTCGACAGCAAATGGGATGTAAAAAAATGGAAGTGGCTGAGAGCGACCGCTGGTCTTCAGCCAAAAAAGACTGCAGGAAAAGAATTGCGCGATTTCCACAACATGCTGATTGGGATGAGCTGCAATAGACATGACATGACATGTTGTGCACAGAGTTTCGTGGTGTGAAAAAATCGTTCCTGACGTCTGAGAATCAAGTTGAGCCGGGTTAAGCAGTCGGACAGCAAGCAGGAGGCATCAGGGTCGGAGAGATGTTTTCCTCCACATCAACGACCTGCAAAAGAAGAGTACTTGACAACAGCATGTCCAAAAGAAGACAGAACATGATAGAACCTGTTTGTGAACATCATAGAATTTTCAAAGGCTCTACAGGAATGGTGCGAGTTAAGATGTCGAAAACTGATCAAACCAACTGGATCTAGAGAAACATCAGCTTTCTTGAGCAAAATCGGCATTTGAGACTTGGAACTCTCCAGTTCTTCTCAATGTCCTGTCCATTTTTCTCATTCCATATCCCATCCACCGTTGACTTCTGGACCGTTCCCATCTCCAAAAACCGCTACTCAGCACGCCACCTTTCCTTCTCGCACATCCCTGAGTTGCTGGATGTATCCTGGCTGGACGACTGGCACCCGGATGACTGTATCCCTGGTCGCGTTGATCATCCAGTTCCCGTTTCTGACCCATCGTCCTCCATTGAGCCGCAAGAGATCGCCAGTCTTTTCATGTCCTTTCTGGATTTCTGGATAATATTAATGACAATTTCAACCTTCACCAGAATGGCGTTGCATCTCCAAGCTGGGGGGGTTCACCCAGTTGGACAATCGTGCGGAAGGCCGAAGTTTGAAGATGTGCGACCACGAACCTCCGACAATCGTGCGCATGTGACTGTAGTCGCGCGCCAATTGCCCGCCCTCAGTGATGATAGCTCCTCTGATTGGCATCCTGGCTTTCTGTTGGCCAAAAAAGAATGCAGGTTCACGTCTATGGACACTTTAGATGACCGAAGATGCAGCAAACTGAGGTACTTGCATATGTTCAAGGAAATTAATGTCTATGTCAAAGTCCTTTCAAGAATTTTTCACTGCAATCAGCTGATTCAAGACTTTCAGCTTTGACATGGAAAAACCCTCTGTAAGTACTTCCGCTTTGGTGCTTCTTTTTGGATGTCCTATGGTTGTTCTATGTTGTTCCTATTTTATTTTACAAGAGAAGCATTGTTCTGTACAACATCAAGCTGGTGGTCCCAATTCCACTCAAAACTGGCCACAGGGGCGGCAGATTCGCCGATCCCGCCATCTCATCACCTCAAAAACCACCAAAACAAAGCTGGAGAAACGCGGGGTGCTTTGGGGAGCCAAGTTGTTCAACCAAAACAGCCCATTCTCCAGAACACTCGTTGGACACTCTGGGGTCAAAGGTCTTGCACAAAGTGCTTCGGAACTGACCCCCACATAATACAATACCGTGTCATACACCTACGATATCATGCTGGCAAGAAACCATCACGAGCAACGCCACTAGCATGCATCAACATCATCAACCCAAATATTACAATGCGTGTGGTCGCACAATCACAATCAACCCCAATGCATGGCTTGCATGTCTCTCAGTCAATAAGGTCAGCACCAGCCAGGGGTGCCATGGGCCTGAAAGCTATTCCAAATCTCGTCCGGTTCTCTGACAAACCATCCCCAAACCCTGTAAAGCTCTCCATGGTCAGTTGGCACGTGCACTCTGTGCCTGTTTAGTTCAATTTCAAATCCTAGGAGGAAGGAATCCTCAGGTTTAGAACGTAATAAGAAAACTAGTTGCCAAGGTTGGAGAAAGAAAAAGAAAAACCCATCGCTCGTACAAAGGTCAGAAGCCAAAGAAAAAGGCCGTCTTCGCTCCGCAAAGCGGTCCGCACAGACCGTCGGAGAACCCGAGCTCGGGACGCCAGCTGGGAGGCCAAGCTGGGCAAAAACGGCACCAGGCAGTCCCCGAAGTGCTCCGAGGACTGGCCGGGGTTGACAACGAAGATTCGATGGATGTGAAGATGTGAAGATGTTGGATGATCCGATGAGATTCGAGAGCTAGTGTTCAAGCATTTCGCCGGTGTTTTCCGGTCTGTCTGGAAGAGAATCGCTTCGCTCTCCGCCCTCTTCGGTCGCAATTCGACCGAACCCCCCCCGATGCTTCGATGGTTCAGCCGAAAGAGGGCCTCACGTGGAAGCTCGGAGGGCAAGTGGTCCACAGCGTGGAAGAGGATGCCAGGACTCGGAGGGGGGACGCGACTCGGCTCATGGTCGCGACGTGGCATGACGGGCTCGGGCTCGGGGCTGGGGGAGGTCGTCCGCCCAAACCGACCCCAAAAACGCCAAGGCACTCGTCCAGGCAGGGGGAGATTCGCTCCGTGAGGGCCTAAATTCCCAACAGATCTGTCCGGATTGGTCCGTGAAGCTAAGAGTTTTCAGAAGAGAATGTGTGAGATTTGTTGGCATCAGCTAACCAGATCCAACAAAAATGCAAACTTTGCACTGGAATCCACTGGAAAAATGTCCTCCAAATATAGAGTCCTGTCGTGTCTTGCACAATAGGAATGCTCTACATGGTTCTACCTCTAAATGGTTTTGCCATCTCATGTCAGGTGATCAAATCTCTTCTTGTCGTTCCATCTTCTTCGGCTCTCTGACACATCTTCTGTCCCTGAGAGATGAACGTTGAGGATGTGGAAGGGCTGCTCGATGCTTGCAAACTGCCGAGTTGGCACAGAGCCGTCTGCATCACATGTAATGTCGCACACCTCAGGTCTCAAGGTCTCGCGTTCCGGTCGCGTGGTATATCCCGGATGAACCTACCTGCGACCCTTCCGGCACTCAACTATTTAGCGATGCCAGGAGCCCCTAGTTGCGTCCTTGCTCCTAGTAGTAAGGCCAGGAGCCCCTAGTAGCTTCTTGTTACTACTAGTAAGGCACTTGCTCCTCGTAGCGAAGAGACCGACGTCGCCACCGGGTGGGGCTCCGAGCGCCGAGGAGCTTGTCACGGCCATTCACCACGTGTCGGTGGAGATCCTGACCGAGCACGGGAGGCGAGGCCGAACAGACGCGGAGCACGGTCGATTCCTTTGGAACACGGAACTTGAGCATAGAACACAGAGCATCTTCAGCGGAACACGACTCCGATTTCCCAAGCTGTCCGGATAGGATGCCAATTGAGAGAGAGAAAGATATAGTATTCATTTATATAGGGGGTTTATCGTCATACTTTGCAGATACTTTGCAGAAGGCGCTTTGCCCGCCAACTCTCAGGGACCAAGTGCTGTCAAGCGGTGAAAAGGGAACTTGCGAGCGTCAAACAGGACCCGTCCGTGCTGTCAAAAGGCTTTAAGAAACCAAAGTCCCGTCCTGGCTGGTAAAGAGTCTCGGAAATCGCGCCTCAGGGCAATACGTCGGCCACGTCGCTTTCTGATCGCGATTCAGCCAAGCCACATCCCAGTACATGCCGTTCAACACCACAGTGGCATAGGGAAGGATTGAATCCTGCAATTCTTGAATGGTGCGGAGTGGTCAAACCATCTCGCAGAGTGGTTGATTCAAGCGTGTTGTCCGTGTAGACAGGGCTACATGGGTGTCCCAGAAAGCTCACTCTTCGCATCCGCCTGAAACGTAGGCTCGTAGTCATCAGGCTGGCTGTAGTAGCCTTTTTCAGCACAAAACCCCCACCGATCGGCAAATTACGCCGAAAAGAAAACATGTGCCACAGAGAAACATGGCCGGTTCCAATCGCAGAATTTACTGCTTGGGAAAATCTTGCCACAGACTTGTACCTTCGGCCGCTGAATGAGAGAACACCGAAACAGCCGAGCAATGCCGAGCAGCTGTTCTTGTCAAAAGGAAGTCCATCGCGGCGCCTGTGCAGTCGTGCAACAACACCCACACCATGAACAAAACATAAAAGATCCAAGACGGTTTGCTGTCTACATAGAGACACTGTCCTTAACTACGTAACTTTTTGGGTGGTAGCTCCACTATGTCACTATGGTCCTTCAGCCCGCAAAAGCGTGCTGTGCCTGACCATGTGCTCCGCTGTTGCAATGGACAGGTGCAGTTTGTGGCAGTCCTTCAAAGAAACACATCCGACCAACGTGGGATCCAGTTCCATCCGACGGTCCAACTCCTCGCATCGACTCAGTGTATCCATGGCGTGGCATGAATCACCGGAATCACCGGTCGTGGTGGGGGGGTTCTCCTGCAGAAGTGGACCTCAACGGTCTTCAAACATCGAATTGGACCGAGAATTGGTCCATCTCCAGGTGCGGTACAAACTGGTAATGTCCCCAACGACTTTTTGGAGTGAAACTCTAGTGGCCCTACATGTCGCGTCCCAGACAAGAGATGAATGGCATCTTAGCTCCACATCCCGCAATCGGCTGGATCACCCCAGCTATGCTGAAGTGTGGTGATCCTTGTAGCTTTGTACCAGGAAATTCCACTGGTAAGAGCTCTGTCGCTGGCGCAGACGTCAGCGAGGCAACGGGCAAAGATCCACAAGAAGCCGGTTGTTGGGCAATCCATGGTACTGGGAAGCATTGGCATTCAAATGTTTTGTCTTGAGAATCTTGGCCCAGCTAGTGGATCTCATCCCAACATCTCCGAACGCCGAACGCGCGGTCGGCACCGAGGTCGCGGCAGAAGTAAGAAGAAGAAGAAGAAGAAGCGAAAACAGCGGGTGACCTCGGTGACCTCCCGGTGTCAGAAGCCACTTCGGGGACCATAGCCTTTCTGTGGCGCCGACTTCTTCTTCATCCACTTCCTTGGACCCTCGAAGATCAACATCTTGGCTTTGGTTCGTGCACCGTAGCCTCACAACGGCTACAACGGTGTGATGGGAAACCCATGAAACAGCATGACATCATGAACCGAACCTGTGGAATCTGGCAACAAATTGGCCACAAGCATGGACAGGCGGGCGTCATGCATGTCACAAGATGCATCACAGCATCACCCACAAAACGTCCAGTACAGTCCTCACCTGTCACCGCCTGTGTTCTGAAAAAAGGGAAAAGGGAGGAGGTTCGAAGAAAGAAAGCTTCCAGCTTAATCCATGGAGTCGACTGGAAAAGTTGAAGCATTGCAAGTCTCATTGCGACAAATGCAGCGTCTTGCCCCGGCCCCTTGCAAACAAGAGGCGCATCTGTCGCTCCTCCATCTTTTTCATGCGGGTCTCTTTGTTTTGCTTGGCTCTCTGTTTTCTTAACCAAGGCTTTTGTTTCAACTTGTTCTTCTCCCGCTGCTTTTTGTCCTGCTGGATCTGCTGAGGTGTCTTCAACTCTTTCTTTCCCTCTCCATCGAGCACAGAATCCAGCCTGGTCAAAACATGTCAAAACTTTGTCAGGACATGCTTCACTGAGTGACTGAGTGCAAGCCCAAGATCAGTTCTTTACAATCCTTAGGTGGAACCAGGTTGAACTGTATACTTAGTATACTTGGGGGAAAATCAACTGCAGAAGTGGTCAAGCTTCCTGGCACGCTTCTTCAGCGCTCGCTTCTGCTTGTGCGTGAGATACTGTTCAGAGATGTTGCCATGGAAAGGTACCACAGGCTTCCTGACTGTAGGATCCTCAGCAACCTCCCCTGCTGCATCAAACTCCACAGTGTTTGACTGCGACTTCCTGGCGTGAGTCAGTGTGAGAGAACTGATGCTTGAATTCAGAATCACATGGGATGATGATATTTATACATGTATGCTGACACAATTGCCAGTCCTTCCATCCATTTTGTGACTATGTATATGGTGGGTAAATGGCCTTCCCCAACATGCCGAGATTCTTCAACTTGCCCAGGGGGTCAGCAGAAGCATCTTCCACCTCACCAACCTTCTGTATTCGCTTTTTCGTTGCTTTGGACCACTTCTCGTAGATGTTGCTCTTCTGAGCTTCTCCCTTGACCTTCTTTCCACTCTCATTGCGGCGTTGCCCTTTCAGCGCACGACCATCAGCGGTGACCATGGTGGGCAAATATTTCTTTCGCTTGGCGTCCCAGCGCATGACACTCTTGGCCTTCTTGATATCCGATGAATCGTCTGGGAGCAAGTCCATTTGATACCTGCTCAGAGGAAAACCCACAAGAGCAGTATCAGAAACCCCGGTTCTTCCCCTTGCCCTGGTTGTTTTTAGTGATGTGTATACAAGGGAGGGTCATGCCCCGTCCTAAACCAAGGAGTACAAGGCCCTTGCTCAGTGGCTGGTGTAGCTACCCCGCTATGCTTCAACAAGTGTGCAAAGCGCTTCATACTCAGTGCAAAGTGCACCTAACTGTCCCTGGCGACAAAAGCGAGAGTTGGTCATCATTCTTACTTTCAAGATTGGAACTTGTCGGGTTTCCAGCTGTCACAGAATGAAAGTCAAGACACTGCTCCATGTCAAAGCCACGTTCTCTCGCTTCATCTGTGAGATCAACTGCGGTGCTGAGATAAAATTGCTCGCCGGTCTCACGCTTGGAACTTGCTTTGCTCTCGCCAAAGCCATCTCCCGAGACTTTGATGTCGAAGTCAGCATCTGCTGAAGTCACACCTGGCGGACCTCCCTTGGATTGTTTCCTTGCCTTCTTGGACATGCGTGGTTTATCTCGTGTTTTCTTTGCTACTGTCTGCACTTCAGCCTCCTCCTGCTCAGGCTCCTCTTCCACCTCTGCTGCTTGGTGGCCTTTGCTGAAGATTGCCTGGGTCTCTTCGGTGGAGACGGTGGCAGCAACAGCGGCAGCATCTAACTTGGCTTGCTCCATGGTCCGCATGGCGCCCACGGAGAGGACGTTGCCCAGCTTCTCAATCTTCGGCCTGAAACCTCGTAGTGTTCGGATATACGACCTCAGAAATGGTCCATCTTTGGTTCCCATCCCATTCTTGATGCCACAAGCTGAAAGTGCAAAATGAAAGCAAAATACATTGTGGTAAAGAAAAGTCAACTAGAAACCGGATTGAAGATGTAGAATCTAGAACGGACAATGTGATTCAGCTTGGGATGCTTCAAGAGACATGTCTGAGCTGGACGTAATTGCAGATCCAGGCTGGTGACCATGCTGTTTCGTAGACTCCTCGCTACTGAATGCAGGATGCAGCCTCAAAGCAGACAGTCAAATTCGAGTCAGGACATCAATCAAATGATGATATACTGACATTATGTTGACCTTTTAATATTTATATAGACTGACCTTTCGTCTCTTTAGACCTTTTCTTGCCCTTTCTTCTTTAGACCGTTCTTTTTGATCTGTCTTCTTTGGACCCCCTTTTTCACTCCTTTCTTCTTTAGATCCTTTTTGGGACCTTTCTTCTTCAGACCCTATGTTGGACCTTTCTTTTTTTGGACCTTTCTGCTTTAGACATTTGGAGGCAATGGAGTGCCTTTTGAGTGTGTTGTGGTGTCTTTCTACTGCCACGTTCTTGTCTCACAGAAACATTCACGTCTGCAAACCAGCAGCATACTCTGGAGTTGAGCCGCGCCACCACACTCCTCCATCAACTTTTTTGCTCGAGCTACAGAGGACTTGGAAGCGGAGGGGCGCGTCTTGTTGTAAAGATTGTATGAGGCTTGCATAGACTTGAACAGGCTTCTCAACATCGTGCCCTCGGCCTCGTCCGTGATCATTCCTTGATTGTGCTGGAACCCTCGATGAACTACGCAAAACTCTCAAACCCCAAAAAAACAAGATCGAACCCACGAACCCGAATGCACACACGTTCGACAAGAAGCCGTTCGATCGAATAGGGTCGTTCAAAAAACTGAAAGGTCGACTATACAGGTTCTCGGGGGTGTCTCAACAGCGCTGCTAGCGCATAGGTCTCTCGGGAAAGTGAACGCAAACACAAGACTCTGATGTTGAAGTTCCACATCAATCAATGGTCTTTTCAAGTGTCCTCCTCTTATAAGGGACGCCCTTCCCCCTACTTTTTTGCGGGTGCTGAAGCACGTCCTGCGCTACGCGCTGAAAATGGACATAACGGTCCTTGAGGGTCGAACTGTTAACCTGTTCGACGACGGCTTCGACTCCTTTGAAGTCAATGGAACCAGATCTCTCCAGCAAGTATTGTAATTTACCAAGAGCATTACTGCGCATCTGTCTGCAGTGCCTCACGATTCCTCACGCCTGCCACAAATGTGCAACTTGGACTCCTCCAACACGCACCAAGACTGACGACACGACATCTTCATGTCTTAAGAAAGTTACACCGCACCACACGCTTGGAATGACTTCGACACGTTCTGAGCACACTCCCATCCACCAAAATCACTTAAAATCGCCATTTTAGCTGAGACTTGTCACGAAAGCACAGCTTCGAAGCACCAGCCTGAAACGCAGATCCCATTGGCACAGCATGTCACAGCCACATCCAACACCTCAAAAACACCGCCCTCTAAAGGCCAATGCCAACCCCAATCTCACAGTGAAGAAAATTGAGGATCGCACAAAACGCTGCACCTGCGCAGAAAAATCATCCTCCATACTTCAACCTGTTACACGTTCCCTGGCTATTTCACACGAATCTGACATGTCATGCTTCCATCCAAAACCTCCTTCAAAAGCTTGGCCCAATGTCAGCGCCATAGCGCCATACCGTGAACATCCGCGAACGGCGGCGAACGGTTGCAAACGGTTGCGAACGCTACGACAACGAGTCGGGAACAGGAGTCTACCGCCAGTTAAACGAGAACCCTTTGCTACGCATTCGGGAAATACGGGTCTCTACATGTATTCACTATGACTCAGAGATGATCTAGACTCCCGAATTTGTGTGGGGTCCAAAAACCATCAAAAACCCATCCCAGGCACCACTTAAGGCCTCCATCTCGTGGTCCAAGGGAGGCAAAGCTCCAATGACTGGTGTCTGCCGGTCCTCCGACGACCCAGGTAATTGCAGTTTGTGGCCCAAAAAGGTCCTCAGACCACGGTGGCGACAGACACGACTGGCTTCAACACATGAGACGCGACCCTCATGAACTCTGTACCAAATGGTGAACTGACTTTGATTGAGATGGTTGAGAAGATGTGAACTAAGAGTCACCTTGGGTGAAGCAAGATTGTCCAAGAAAAATACAGCAAAAAACCTCAGGATTCCAACGGTGCAGGCAAAAAAGGTCAATCACAAGATGAAAAATTGGTGCCTGTCACTCCTTCACAGACGTTCAAAGCCAAAGAGCATGAGCTCAACTGTATAGGGCAAATCATCCAGAGTTACCAAAGACGCTGCCAGGCCGGAACGACCCGCACGAGCTGTCCGACCACACCTGGAAGCCCGTCACTCCGCCGAGAAACACGAGCTGGCGAACACGAGGACCACCAAAACCCACGCTACGTTCGTAACAAAGGACATCGCTACTAGTGGCTCCTGGCCTTACTACTGCTAGTTACCAGGAACAAGAAGCTACTAGGAGCAAAGGGCATCGCTACTAAGTGAGAGTGACTTCGGTGACCACGTGAGGACCGTCCACGGCACAGCTGAGGACGGTGACAGTTCGGTGACACGTTCAGTCACGGCATCTTTCAAGCTGTCGGCTTTGGTCCGAGGCCGCGCCAAAAACAGCGGGATCTTTTGCTGAATCACTGTGTATCGAAAAACCAACCGCTGTTTTTTGAAGGCCAAGTATGCAGGAGCTTACAAAAAGAAAAGCGCCTGGCAGGAAGAGGATGAACCTGTTTGGTACAGTACTTGATTCAACTACTTGATGGTTGCTCGAGCTGGTGCTCCAAGTTCACCTTTTTGCATGTCCTACTTACTTTGTCAAAGACACCGCATTGTGTGCCCAAAAGGTTGAACAGACCGGCAGAAAACCGGTTGCCTGTGGATGAATAGCTTTGCACTGGATGGAAAGTCGAAGTTCAACACATGGTCCAGCGCGGGAATGTCGACACCACGAGCTGCCACATCAGTGGTGACCAGAATCCTCGCTTGCTTCTTCCGGAATCGGGCCACCTGAGACGGGGAGAAGAAGGGGAAAACAGCGCCCCGAATCAAAGGGGAAGGCAAAACGGTGTTCACCGCAGTTCGCCCCAGCAAGATGATCAAACCCAACCAAACCGGTGAAAATATCAAGGAGGGGGAGAACAATCAAACGTCGCTTCATCACAAAGCACTCCTTTCAGTTGTCTCCTGAATTCCCTTCAACTCCATCAACCTTCCGCAAACACGTTCGAAACCCCCACCACCCCGATGGGTCATCTGGTGCGCCTGCTCCTGACGCGCTGTTTGGTCCATGGTACCGTACACTGTAGCTGCGGGCAAACCCTGCTGCTGCAAGAGTTCCCCGAAGAATTCCACATGATGCTTTGTGGCAACAAACCTGAGACGTTTGAGAAGTTCGTGAGGCGAAAATCAAAATGGACCTGGATGGTAAGTCATTCACCCGCAGCGATGAACAAATGAACCGACATGTGGATGGTCAAAAGGACCCTTGAAAAAGACCACTTGGCGTGCCCAAAAGGGACTGTGACTGCGACAAGGCTCATAATCGTGGCCTTTTGGTCCTGGTGAAATCGTCTCAGGACAGAGATCGCAGCTGCAATCTTCCTCATCTGAAGAAAAATAATTCAAATCACACGAAGGTCGGGCAAAGTGTTCTGAGGAGCAACTGTTCCAAACAAAATGAACGAAGAAACCGCTCTCATTGGTTGCACCGAAAGCGTCTCATCCTTCCGAACAAAGAGATACCACAGATCCAATGACTCGGAAAGAGACGTCTCCACATCCAAGCGGATGAAGGCAGGATCCTTGATGCCCGCGCGGGAGAAGGAGACCAACTGTGCCGGCAGAGTTGCAGAAAAAAGGAGGCATTGTCTGGAGCTTGGGGTGGCATCCAAAATCTTTTGCAGCTGTTCTGCAAAGCCCAACTCGAAGAGACCTCGAGTGAAACATGTGGAGGTCAAGACACGTCGCCAGGTCGCCACGTCGCCCGGTCCTTTTCACCGAAAGGATGACAAGTGACCCCACCCCTGCCCACATCAGTGGAAAGACGGTCGCCAACGAAAGAGACGGTCGCAAAGTAAAACGAACGAACGGGACGTCGTCTGCTGTTGAGTCAAGGGACGGTCTGCTTCATCGAAGACCAAGATCTCCACACGGGACAGTGAGAGCTCTGCCTCCAAGATGTGGTGCATCAAACGGCCAGGTGTTGCGATGACCATGTCAGGGTTGTTGGCTAAGTGCTCGAATTGAGCTTCCATGCCTTGACCCCCCACCAGCAAGCAACAGCGCAGGTCATTGAACTTGCTCAGCTGCCGAGCGAACTTGGCTGTTTGCATTGCAAGCTCCCGGGTGGGTGACAGCACCACACCCCGGAAGCCCACCGAGGTGGAATGACTTTTTAAGCGTTCGCACATGGGGATCAGAAAGGCCGCGGTCTTCCCTGAACCAGTTCGTGCCATTGCCACCATGTCCTGGCCCTCCATGATGGTGGGGATCGTCTTTCTCTGAATTGGAGTCGGAACTTTGTAGCCCATTCCTCACACCAGCCAACGCTAAAGAGTTTTCACATTAAAAGACATCAGACCTCAGGAATGGCCCACAACAGAATCTGCAAAACTCTTATGACTCGTAGCACGACCATCATGACCGCCCGCTGGGTGATTTATTTTTCTCGGTGTTCGATGTGTCCAAGTCTCGCATGATGGCCTTGTAGGTGGGGGAGCTCAAGCCAAGGCCCTGAAACGAGCCGGGCTTGATCTTCTTCTTCTTGCGTGGTTCTGCTGCCACATCATCTTCCATGGTCGCGAGAGGCCGGCACCGTGCGCGTATCGGAACAGCTGCCCCGCTGCACACGGCGTCTTATCGTTCTCTCACGAAGTCTAGGATTGAGACTGATGCCGAAAGGCAAAAGGACTCTACTGCTATGAGCTGTAGTGGGAAGTTCCGGGAATGACTACAAGTAAAGCTCTGTAACGAACCAATTCTTGCGGCGAGTCAAAGCTTCGAACGATGGAGGAGAATCGTATCCGTCGTATCCACTGGTCCATGCCTGACTGACTTCCATTTTTGGAGTGTGTGCATGTACAGGCATTTACAAGCAAACGTAGAGGTATTGGGATTTGGAAGATTTTCGAAGCATATCCTTGGCTGTAGCAAATAGGCATCACATGCATTCTTGAGCCTGCACGGCTGATGCTGTAATCAGCCATCAAATGTCCTCATCAATGAAACAGGATGCAGCTGTTTAAGGAATGTTTAGAATGCATCAAAATGCCATGAAGTCCTGGACAACAAGTCAGAGGCTGAGAATCTCGATCGCGTCTGAGATGAAGAGGGGTTAAATGATAATGATCGATCAAATAGTTTCAATGTAATTAACAAATTAAATATTAACATAGACTCAAATAGTGGAATGACAAAAGATTGCGAAGACCAAAAAATGAAGCGAGGCGTGGCAAGGAGGCTCTAGACAAGAAGTGGCCTTTTAAACAATGACGAGATGTGTAGCGAATGCTGTGGAGAGCTCATGGGCATACTGAAAGTAAAGCTGATAGCTGATTCCAACTGAACCTCAGGAAATTCAGAACCGTTTGCGAGTGGAACCACTTTTTTGAGGTGACAGTACTCACAAGTCACACCGAACATGTATATGAAAAAGTATCCGTTCTCGAATCCTCAGTCTGTGGACCCAAGGAGAACTGCTTCGCGGGTCCTCACGAGACAGCTCGCCCTTGTCAGCTCCTGAAGTAGAGAAAGAGCGTGTGCTGGCGGGCTGGGCACTATCTTGATCCGGGCTTGTGTTGAATTGCCAAGTGGCATTTTTGAAGTCAAGGCCCAGTCGTGAAAATCCCACAGAGTCTCAGTGCACCGCACAGGTGCACCGCAGGACTAGCTAAGGCACTTGTCGAAGCCAGACTTCTCACTTCACTTGCTAGTCTGGGCCAAAAGGCTAGAGATCACATCAAGCTAAACATGCTGGGTGTCCCAGCTTTGGCAAAGTTTCGGCAAGTCAGATGGGTCGACCTGCAAAGCGACTCGAGACGATTGACTCGATTGACGTGAAGTTGAAGGCTTCCCCTTGAAAATTGCGACTTGTGAGTTGGCTGTGTACTCTGGTCTTTTTTGAAGGGAATGAACAAGGGCATCAAGACTCAAGACTCATGAGATCAACCTTTTTTGCACATGAAGACTCTCATCCATGGCTCTTCAAGTCTACTCCCGAGCTCCACAGCGCACCATCTCATGTGGCAACAACTTGAAGATCTCAAGGGCACCTTGACCTTGGCAAGTTTCGTGCGGTGGTCACCTGCGGCACCCAAAACTCTCCTCAAAAAGAGCTGGAGAAGCAAATCTCACCTGCCTCGTTGTCGAGTTCATGGAGATGGGCTAAATGAACATGAGACTACTCAATCATGCACCAGTGATGTCAACTCCATGCAATGCTTCTGTCTTCATGTTTCTTGCTCCTAGTAGCGATGCCCTTTGCTCCTAGTAGCTTCTTGTTACTACTAGTAAGGCACTTGTTACTAGTAGCGATGCACTTGTTACTAGTAGCTTCTTGTTACTACTAGTAAGGCACTTGTTACTAGTAGCGATGCACTTGTTACTAGTAGCTTCTTGTTACTACTACTCTTAAGGCACTTGTTACAAGTAGCGATGCACTTGTTCCTAGTAGCTTCTTGTTACTACTAGTAAGGCACTTGCTACTAGTAGCGATGCACTTGTTACTAGTAGCTTCTTGCTCCTCATGCTTATTCCGGCCTTTTTGCAAAAGCCGCTCCTCGGGCCCACGAGGATCCCTGAGGCCCCGTTCTCACGTTGCCCGTCCTGGCTGGTGCAAACGGTCTCCAGGGATCCCTCGTGGTGGTACGACTCCTTTTAAGCTTTTCTGAAAGCCTTCTAGAGGGTGTGGCCGGTCTGTGCATCCACCAACAAGAAAGTGGTGTCATAAAAGCCAAGAAACAAGAATCCACGCACACGTTGGGTCAAACAAACTGACTTCGTTGGGTCAAACGAGCCACCAGGCCACAACACAAGATCATTGGATTAGTTTCTGCATCATAGGTCACCTAAGATCGGTTTTCACTTAGCTACAAGTGACTTCAGGCGCGGGTCCCGGTGAACACTGCAGTGAAAGGGCACATTGCCTGCCAGCGCGCCGGGAAAGAATGCGCAAGATGGGGCAATGGAAGGCATCGTGGTTCGTCAGATTCACGTCACTTCCGCACATCGGATGACTCCGAATGCGCCAGGCTCACATGGGATCCGGAAGACTGGTGAACCCTTTTGCCTTGGGCAGCCCGTTCTTTCGAATGGCATCCCCAGCCAAGGCGACGGCTCTCTTGGCCTACCAAGCGAGGGTCTAGGTCATGGAACTTCGATGGCAAAGAGAGGCCGGACTTTGGGACAATTAAGAGGATGAAAGAGGAAGCATTTGCCAGCTTCGTAAGTAGACCACAAGAGTGTTCTACAAGAGTGTCTCCTACAAGAGTGTCAAACAAAATGATCTGAGACCCGGGGTCTGTTTCTTAGGGACCTTGTTTCACTCTTTGTTTCACAGGAGTCTTCTCTCCTCTTGTATGTCTGCTTCCTTTTAGTGACACGAGGCTTGACCTCAACGCGGGCTCGCAGTGGCAAAAAACTCCCACAAGAGCGCCCCACAAGAAGAAATGCCAAATGGGACAGTAATGCAAGAGGGGGATCGAAGGAGAATGCATGACCCATCATGTTTGATAAGTATCTTGCAACGTCCAAAGTAGCTTCTTTCCTGTCCCCAACTGCCCCCAAGTTCTTTGAATATTGACATTCGTGCATATTCCCTCTAAAGAGACTGAGACTCTAGAATCTTGTATTTTGCACGTCATGCTTCACCATGTTCCTGTTTGCCGCCTCTTCCAGGGTCGGATACATGAAGGCAGATCCGATGTGCAAAAGAGGCCTCACAATGCAGTGAGCCCAGATGCACAACAGACTATGCAGTACGAGTATCATCGGGCATCTTCGAATCACTCGATGACACGAAAGTTTAGAACGACAAGCCTGCCCTTAACCGTCTTTAAGCGTCCGCAAAAACAGAAGTGGTAGTCCAACTTGTGGTGCTTGCCACTTGTCGTCTTCCTTCGTCTGGGGCCTCTGTCGTTTGACTCCGGGATGGAAAATCCGAGATCCGACATGAATCACACTGAGCTCCCCATCGTGCTGAAGCCCAAGGCTAAAAGCCGCTCTCCCAGGCCCCGAAGGAAGTCAATGGCCTCAAAAGAGTCGCTCTCGGGGAAAGAGCTAGCTGTTCGCAATGCGATTGGAAACGACATCTTTGGTAGTTGAGTGGTTTTAACATCAATCCATATATGTATATGTATATGTGTCCCTATAAATACAATCGGTATACATTCCATTTTCTCTACGGTCTGTGCTGTACCAACTAGACCAAGGGGCACCAGCATAGCCCGCAAAGGCGCCAAAGGCCACCAGGCGGGTATCGAAACGCGTGCCCGACCTCAGCTGAGGCAGCTGAAGCAGCGAATATCCTCGAAACCATGTGTTTTTTCTGCGATGAGTCGCAAGAACCGGTGAATCCAAAAACGAATGACGCCAGGGGTGAAACTCCAATTCTTGTCCAAAACAAACAGGTCTTGACAAAGCCAAGAAAACTGCAAGGGCGAGCGTAGTACAGAGGTGTTTGACTCCTTGGGGCCCCTTACTTTGTTATGCACTCGTAGTCCACCAAGCGCACCTAACAGCTGGGCGTGAAAAAAGGGCTACTTCATGTTAGCGTCAGGATGTGGAAAAATACTGTAATTAGTTGCAAATATATAATATAAATAGATCGCAATGTGTGGGTTTGCGTGTGTGTCTCCCCATCTCTCTCCCTCTCTAAAAATGCTCAAAAAAAGTCCAGCATACCTGAGCCAAATGGAGCAATGTCGCGTTGGCAGGCTCAGCCAATGAAACATAATGAATACCGTAAAAAAAAAAGTATTGTCGTTCAGCCTTTCCGCAAAGCTTTGCTTCATCAAAGCCATCTGCCATCCCATCAAACATATTTTTCTGACTCGAGAGAATGCTCAGCGCACACGCGTTGCTGTCAAATCTCAATCAAATGGCAGCAAGTCAGCTAGTCCATCCATCTATTGTCAGGCTTCAGCGAGTGGTTGCTTTTCTGTATGCTGCCACTTGTTGTGGTTCCAAGAAATTTGTACACACCAGAATTTCAAACAGCAAGACCATGCAAGTCAAGCCTGCGAAAAGCATCTTGATTCAACAATGCTTTCACAACAAGAACAAGCACTCCAAGCAAATCACTAAGTGCCCAAATATAGCACAGTGCTTTGCGGTACCACTTTGCAGGAATCAGGAAACCACATTCATTCCCACTGGCTCGTCAGTTAATCGAACCATTTCGTCCACACCTTGTCTTCAGCGTGGTTGCTTTAAAAGTTCTCATCAGAGAGCCAAACACCCCCGCCTACGACGTTTCAATGAATCAAGCACCAGCTACAGCCGGCCCGTGCAACATGTTGAGTTGGCAAACTCAGCTAATCGAACCACATTGAATCCACACTGTCGTTCAGCCTTTCAGCGAAGTTTTGCTTCATCACAGCCAGGCCATCCCATCAAACATCTTCTTCTAACTCAAGAGAATGCTCGGCGCACATGCTATGCCGTCAAATCTCAATCAAATGGCAGCAAGTCAGCTAGTCGATCCATCTATCGTCAGGCTTCAGCCAGTGGTTGCTTTTATAGATGCTCTCATCCTATTTCTGCTGCCGCTTGTAGTGGTTCCAAGAAGCTTGCACACACTCAGATGTCCAACAAGCAAACACAGCAAAAACCATCAAACCTGTGATGAGTAACTTGATTAAACAAAGGCTTCTCAACCATCAAGTGCCAAAAAGGAGCACGGTGCTTTGCGTACAAACGGTATCACTTTGCAGGAAACCACACATTCATTCCCACTGGCTCGTCAGTTAATCGAACCATTTCGTCCACACCTTGTCTTCAGCGTGGTTGCTTTAAAGGTTCTCATCAGAGAGCCAAACACACCGGCCTACGACGTTTCAACGAATCAAGCACCAGCTACAGCCGGCCCGTGCAACATGTTGAGTTGGCAAACTCAGCTAATCGAACCATATTGAATCCACACTGTCGTTCAGCCTTTCAGCGAAGTTTTGCTTCATCACAGCCATGCCATCCCATCAAACATCTTCTTCTAACTCAAGAGAATGTTCGGCGCACATGCTATGCCGTCAAATCTCAATCAAATGGCAGCAAGTCAGCTAGTCGATCCATCTATCGTCAGGCTTCAGCCAGTGGTTGCTTTTATAGATGCTCTCATCCTATTTCTGCTGCCGCTTGTAGTGGTTCCAAGAAGCTTGCACACACTCAGACGTCCAACAAGCAAACACAAAGCAAGAACCGTCAGACCTGTGATGAGTAACTTGATTACACAAAGGCTTCTCAACCATCAAGTGCCAAAATGGAGCACGGTGCTTTGCGTACAAACGGTATCACTTTGCAGGAAACCACACATTCATTCCCACTGGCTCGTCAGTTAATCGAACCATTTCGTCCACACCTTGTCTTCAGCGTGGTTGCTTTAAAAGTTCTCATCAGAGAGCCAAACACACCGGCCTACGACGTTTCAACGAATCAAGCACCAGCTACAGCCGGCCCGTGCAACATGTTGAGTTGGCAAACTCAGCTAATCGAACCATATTGAATCCGCACTGTCGTTCAGCCTTTCAGCGAAGTTTTGCTTCATCACAGCCATGCCATCCCATCAAACATCTTCTTCTAACTCAAGAGAATACTCGGCGCACATGCTGTGCCGTCAAATCTCAATCAAATGGCAGCAAGTCAGCTAGTCGATCCATCTATCGTCAGGCTTCAGCCAGTGGTTGCTTTTATAGATGCTCTCATCCTATTTCTGCTGCCGCTTGTAGTGGTTCCAAGAAGCTTGCACACGCTCAGATGTCCAACAAGCAAACACAAAGCAAAAACCGTCAGACCTATGATGAGTATCTTGATTAAACGAAGGCTTCTCAACCATCAAGTGCCAAAAAGGAGCACGGTGCTTTGCGTACAAACGGTATCACTTTGCAGGAAACCACACATTCATTCCCACTGGCTCGTCAGTTAATCGAACCATTTCGTCCACACCTTGTCTTCAGCGTGGTTGCTTTAAAAGTTCTCATCAGAGAGCCAAACACCCCCGCCTACGACGTTTCAATGAATCAAGCACCAGCTACAGCCGGCCCGTGCAACATGTTGAGTTGGCAAACTCAGCTAATCGAACCACATTGAATCCACACTGTCGTTCAGCCTTTCAGCGAAGTTTTGCTTCATCACAGCCTTGCCATCCCATCAAACATCTTCTTCTAACTCAAGAGAATGCTCGGCGCACATGCTATGCCGTCAAATCTCAATCAAATGGCAGCAAGTCAGCTAGTCGATCCATGTATCGTCAGGCTTCAGCCAGTGGTTGCTTTTATAGATGCTCTCATCCTATTTCTGCTGCCGCTTGTAGTGGTTCCAAGAAGCTTGCACACACTCAGATGTCCAACAAGCAAACACAAAGCAAGAACCGTCAGACCTGTGATGAGTAACTTGATTACACAAAGGCTTCTCAACCATCAAGTGCCAAAATGGAGCACGGTGCTTTGCGTACAGACGGTATCACTTTGCAGGAAACCACACATTCATTCCCACTGGCTCGTCAGTTAATCGAACCATTTCGTCCACACCGTGTTTTCAGCGTGGTTGCTTTAAAGGTTCTCATCAGAGAGCCAAACACACCGGCCTACGACGTTTCAACGAATCAAGCACCAGCTACAGCCGGCCCGTGCAACATGTTGAGTTGGCAAACTCAGCTAATCGAACCATATTGAATCCACACTGTCGTTCAGCCTTTCAGCGAAGTTTTGCTTCATCACAGCCATGCCATCCCATCAAACATCTTCTTCTAACTCAAGAGAATGCTCGGCGCACATGCTATGCCGTCAAATCTCAATCAAATGGCAGCAAGTCAGCTAGTCGATCCATGTATCGTCAGGCTTCAGCCAGTGGTTGCTTTCATAGATGCTCTCTATTTCTGCTGCCGCTTGTAGTGGTTCCAAGAAGCTTGCACACACTCAGATGTCCAACAAGCAAACACAAAGGAAAACCGTCAGACCTGTGATGAGTAACTTGATTACACAAAGGCTTCTCAACCATCAAGTGCCAAAATGGAGCACGGTGCTTTGCGTACAGACGGTATCACTTTGCAGGAAACCACACATTCATTCCCACTGGCTCGTCAGTTAATCGAACCATTTCGTCCACACCGTGTTTTCAGCGTGGTTGCTTTAAAGCAAACACAAAGGAAAACCGTCAGACCTGTGATGAGTAACTTGATCAAACAAGAACTTTTTAACAAAAACAATCACTCGATCAGGACCATGAAGTGCAAAAGGAAAAGCATGATGCCTTGCACACAAGAGATGCATGTCTGTAGGAAACCACATTTATCCCCACTGGCTCATCAGGTTTTTTTAAAAAAAAAATCCAACAAAATGATGAAGTGCACAAGGAACAGCACGATGCCTTGAATAATTACAAGAGATGCATCTCTGTAGGAACCACATTCATTCCCACTCATTGTCTTCAGCGCGATTGCTTCAAGAATTCTCATAAAATAGCCTTGTCTACAACTATTGACCAACTCATGCAACATTCAATGTCGAGTTGGCCGGCTTATGCTTATCTATTCAATCCATCTAGTTGTTGTTCAAACTTTCAGTGACATTGGTCAGTCCAAAAAAGAAACAAAGCGGCCGTCCATTCAAAACAGATCAATCACCTCTCATATACCTCTCCGTAGTTATAACTATTTACTGTATATACAATGTGTGTGTATTGTAACTTAGAGACACCCAATCATTTCACTCTCGCGTTGGTTGCGCCCGGCGCTTCTCGGGGTACTAGCCGACCGTCCTACTGCCGCTTGGACAGTCCCTTCAAAAGCCCTAAAACCGAAGCGGTTCTTCAGCGGTTCGACCCCAACCTTCTTCTCGAGAGCTGCATCCAGCAACGGCATGCCTGATGGCCTGAGAAATGGGCGGATACATCAGGCAGACAAGCAACTGATAAAACGCAATTGCACTCAAAGATCCTTGTGGATGATTTCGATTTCGCTCAAAGAAGGTCTGCATGATTTCGATTTCGCTCAATCATGTCAATCTGAATATGTTTGGAACAAGAAGATCTTTCGGTCTTTCCATTTGAGCTTTGACGAGATCTGTCGCAAGCAGAATCGACCGGCCGAGGGCCATGCTGGGCCTTGATGGTATGAGAGAAAAAGCACCATGTTCGGCCTCTCCAATGACTAGACCGAATGGATTTGTCTGAGAGAGGCAATATGATATAAATATAAGATGATGCAACTCTCGTGCTCCAAAGGATCCCTTTCTTTGCAAAGCCTGGGAGCAGCAACTCGACGGGAACCTCCTGGGAAACGCTGGCGTGTGTCCCTTTCCACCGTTAAGCAAGGATCTGGGCTCACTTGTCAGGGAGAATCAGGAAAACATTGATGCGCTGGTTCTTGAACCAAAAACACATCACTTGAAAGACCAGGATGGGCTTCCAAAGTGAAGCCACGGTCCAAAACGTGCAAAAAGCATCATATGCAGCCAAAACCCCCTGTACATGGCTTGCTCCTGTCTGGCGGCTAAAGTACATAAATATTGCTAAAGGGTGAATAAGCACTATGTAGGTCAGAGTGGATGAACTGAATGGCTATCCCTTCTGATCCTGCAAAAAGAGCATTGGCGGTTTTCACGGACGCGCTTGCACGTTGCAGGTGTTCTTCTCGCGAGGTTTTTGTGGAGACGTTGTCCCTGACTGAAAAAAAAACACCGTGCTCTATGAAGAAAAAACTGCTCTCCTTCACAGCAAGAATGGTGGAGCATTCAGACAGGTCTTCCCTGACCTGCGGGAGATCGCTGAGCCCCATCAGTTCTTTTTCGCCTGTTTTAGGGGGGCTTCGAGAAGTCCCGACGCGTCGGGCTGCATGGAGTCGATGACGGGACTTCTCTTCAAACCCGTTTGCTCAGTGAAACTGACTGGGAGTGAGAGTCTATCAGAACTCCAAAGTGCCTTACTAGTAGTAACAAGAAGCTATTAGGAACAAGTGCATCGCTACTAGTAACAAGTGCCTTACTAGTAGTAACAAGAAGCTATTAGGAACAAGTGCATCGCTACTAGTAACAAGAAGCCTGTCATCTTTTTGGGTCGAACTCCAAAGCGCTGCGCGCACGACAACCCTCCAACCTCAGCTCCAGCCTCCTCGGATCGAAGCGGAGGAGAAGCGGAGGAGAGCAGGTTCTTAGAAGGTTTTGATGTGGAGCTTTCTTGGTTTCTTGAAGGTGTTTTTCTTGATTCTGTCCTTTTCTTTGATGTTTTTTTTCCACATCAAGAAAAACACCTCATTGTCATGGGAAGAGATTGATGAATATTGGATCAACCACCCGCTGCAAGTTGAAGTTGATGTCTGGTACCGGCTTTTCCCTTGAGGTGCTGTAGCGCAACTTCCAAAAAGTGAAATATGCAAACCGAATAAGATTGATACGCATCAATGAATCAAGTAGTTAGCACTCCATGCCCATCTCCTCATACTCCGCATCTGTAAAAACTCTCCGCGTGCAGGGCTGAACAATGATCTTGAGTCCTGCACATCACCCAGTGTCACCAAGCTGCGGCTCATTGACCCCGTGACACCAAGAAAGACACCTCTTTCGTTTTACAATGAAAAAATGCGGAGCCTGAAATGTACAGTTAGAGCAAAAAGGCTCCGTTGATCTCTTTCAGGATCTTTGAGGACTGGATGTTAAAGGATGCAAAAAAAATAAAAGAAGAAACAGACCGTCAGACCACGTCAGACCGGTTGTGCAGCTTCGTTCGTTCGTTCTTCATCTCCTTCTTTCTGCAGCTCTGCCACGTGTCGAGGTGCCAGTGGAGCTCGGCGCTCCCACTTGTTTCTCGGTGAAGTGTCGAGCGGTCCACGGCCGTGACTCGGAGCAACCGACAGCGGAGAGCAAAGAGCGGCACGAAACGAGCCTAGTGACAAGACGTGGCTGGCCTTTGAACGTCTTCGTCTTCGACCTCCCTAGCCTAGCAGCGACCAGCAGCGACCGAGCCCCAGTAAGCTCCAGACTTGTCCTCTCGCCTGGCGGAGCAGGCGATGAGTGAATCCTGCTGTTACCATGCTGTTCTTCCCAATCATACATGAAGCACTTCACAAACTCGGTTCATTGAAATGAATCTGGTCGTGCGCGATCAGCAAACAGCACGCTGTGTGTGCTCAGCACTAGTTGTGTGAGAGAAAACCAGAATCTCCCGTGCTCCACACCCTCGGAGGTTGAGGCAATCCCACCCAAAAATATGTTTTCCGCGCAGCTGACCTTCACTGAGTCAAGGCTCAAGGGCTGCCCGACTTACACCAAACGTGCCAAGTGCAGAGCATTGCCCGAGCTCACAGAAAATCCACCGTGGGGGCTTCGGACGCTTTTTTGGAGGGGTACAGTAGATCACTTGGACATCAGTTCTTTCAGGAGGGCAAGGTCAATGCCACCTGTCCGCCTGTCCCTTTGGACCAGCTACAACTTCGATTTTGCTCCAGGCCCCATGGACCGAGACTGCTTCTCAACTCCGCGAGAGATCTGGGACCTCAGCAGACATCGTCCCTCCAAGCATAAGTTTCTTTGGCTTGCCTGACTTGGTCTGCGAATCACAAATCGAAGAGGTCAGTTTTGGGTTCCAACCTCTGCTGCCAACTTAATTAAGGTATGTTACAGACAGTTATTAGGTTGGAGGCCATCGCTATTAGGTTGGAGGCCATCGATGTGAAGACCTCTCAGAAGCAGAGACAGCCCAGACGTTTGACCACGGCAACCATTGGCCAAGCCGCACGACCTCCCTGGGCATCATGGGCTTCTTGCCGAACCACTCGCCGCCGTCCACCGGGAGAGTTTGCCCAGTGATGTAGCCTATTGAGGCTCAACGAAACAGTCGGATGTTGGCGGTCGGATGTATCCATCATCGCGAAAGGCCAAGAGGATGGACCGCCAAGCAACGATTCAGGCACAAGTAGATGCAAGCAGAGGCAATCTCTCCCTTGGTACCAGCTCGCCTGGACACCAAGGGAGCTGCACGTGGCTGACTTTCCCATTCAGTGCCGTGGAACAGAGCTATTAAAGTCGAATCTCCAAAAACACTGAGCAATCACCTTCATCTTTGGGATGGACTGGTACTACGGTACTGATGCAAACTTACTGAACATTGAGTCTGCAACTTGCGGATGTGTTTAAGTTTCAATCGAATTACACTTTACCAGCCTGGCAGGGATCCAATCCCAAGAGATCTCTTTTCCTCCACCTGAGTCGAGCGCCCCTCCCCGGCGATCCCATGCGCTTTCTTCGCACCGAGGCGCTCAGCTTCTCGAGGCCCGGCGTCTCGGCGATGGGACCCGGCGCCACGGCGTTGCAGCGGAGGCCGAACTCGCCCCACTCCAGGGCCAGGTTTCCTCGATGCGCGTGGAGGTGGCCACGAGCGAGGCCAGAGAGTGGGAGAGTTGGAGAGTTGGGTGCTCTACACGGTGTTTTCTGGAGCTCTGTAAAGAGGATGTCTGGTGACGTGCGTTTTCTTGCTCCAAAATGGGGAGTGGAGGAGGCTTTTCGAGCTCGTTTCGCTTCAAGAAGGCCGGTGGAGAAAGGACTTCACGGGACATGTGTGGATGGAAAACGACTGGTCAGATCTGCTGGGCGTAACCGGCAGTCTAGCCACTGATGATGATGTAGGGTCTCATCCCCTCAATGCCAGCGAAACTCCGGCCTGCCAATGCCAGCCTTCATGATCAGCCACGCTGTCCCCACCCTTCCCTTTGGGTCCGTCATCTCATTCTCCAAGACTCTAGTCATGGCATCGATGGCAGCCTGGAAACAACGAATCAAGGCGGTTGAAGCATGATGAGGGCTGGTGTATTGAAGTTTGCTTGGCATCTGCATGTTCACGTGCATACTATACTTTCGAGTGTATGCGCAAGATTCCCATCAGACATGCTGGAATAGCTTGTGCATGTATCGGCCTTGGCTGCGACGGGCGCAGTCTGGTACCAGGTCGCCGTATAGTGCAACGTTGCAGTAATGCTGGTCCTGAGCCGACTTTACTACGTTGGTCCTACCCTGCCACTACCACGGCCTGGCCCCCTCCCCCAACAAAAAGGTCACAACGCGTCTTCTTCGCTTCACGACGCCCAGCTTCACCACGCCACCGTACGGTGATTGTCGCAAGGCTTCAAAGGCCGCACGCGTCACATTGAAGGTGCCAACTGCATCGATGTCCATCACCTTGACATGATCTCGGGGAAAACATAGAAAGCGCCTCTGAACGCGTCTGATCTTTCTAAGCATATGTTTTGGATGCTAAAGTTGCAGTTCGGTGCAAGTACCGCTGAGATGCAAACGAATATCAGCGATCATATCCGATCCATCAATTGCATCTGGGTCAATTCTGTGCAAGGATTTCTTGGATATGAAGAGTCAAAGTTGTATCCCCGAAATGAATAGTCAATATGTGTATCATGACATGTTCATCCCATTTCGCATTATTGACATTTCAGACCGTTGCTAAGGGTGAAGTTAGACCATGGCACCGGGGAGAGCAAGATGCTTCACGATGCTTCAGACTTCACGCGTATCCTTATCGCGGCCTTTTGGAACCATGAAGCAAATCCACGAACGAGTTCGCACGTTCAACCAGCAAAATCCTGCATTTCATCGGGTGTGTTGCATGTTTCTTGCAAAAACTGGGACTAGCTGTGGACACAAAGTGCTCCTTCCTTAGCTGATGGTAAACCATTACGGCGAAGACACTCCGTCCAATACGTCCGAACACCAGGGCTTAGCCCTGAAAAAATGCGGCAGCTAATCCCCACCAATCCTGAAAGCGGGACTGAACGAGAAGCTACAAGAACAAAGTTTTTGCGCGGCTTTGTCTGTTGGGTGAGTCCGTCCAAGGACAGCATACATCATATAATATATATATACTGTATACTGTATATAGATATAGATATAGATATATATATATATCATACGAATAACAATTGTCAAGTGGCCGCTTTGAAACCGTTCCCAGAGATTTCCTCTGCAGCTGCAAGGAAGTTGCCTGCAGATCTCAAATCATCTCAGGGTTTAAAGCCACGGTAAATCCATTGGGAGAAGTCAGATGTTTGCTGTCCGTTCACACACACACACACTGACTCACCAAGCCCATCACAGAAACCAGCGGTCAGTTGAACCCCATGTGCTTTGCCCGTGGGATTGCTGAAGGAACTGGAGTCAATCGATATGTATCATGTAATATCCCTTTTCGCCTGCAGCAGCATTGACCAGAACGTCCAGTCCACCATACGTCTCCACGGCCAGTGCCACGGCTGCGCTGCAGTTTTCTGAGTTCCGCACATCTCCTGCAAAGCACCTGCGCATCCCATGTTGACTGGCTTCCTTGTGGGGTATGTACGGGTGATTCTGGACCCTTGCAAATGCTTCCACACATCTTCATCCGAGGGCATTGTCGCGTGAATCCGTGATTGCGAAGAAAAACACGTTTAAAAAAAAGAAAACACACAACATTCCTTTCAGCTAAGTCACACAGCCTGAATATTATCTTTCTTCAGGAGTTCCACTGCCTTGTCCAGAAACTGCTTCCTTCGGCCCATCAAGACCACACCTGCAGGCTGCCAAGTTCATCACGCTGATGCCACACATGGTGCGCCAAAAAACAGGCGTCATGTGATGTGTCGGCCTTTACAGCCATGTAGCCCAAATTGTCGTGCCACTTCGAAGCCAATTCCACTTCCGCCACCGGTGATCAAGGCCACGCGACCTGGAGCGCGGGAGGCACTCCTCCCACGGGTGGGCGTTGAAGCAAGACATCATCCTATGGCCTAAAGCAGCATTGTTCATAATAGTGTAACATTTCTGAACTATTCTTAACCACTGACTTGCTTGGGTGATTCCAGGCGGAGGCTTCGAACAGAATCCAGGAAAGGGCGTGTAAAATGTGTGCTATCCTGAACTGCCCTTCTTGGCCTTCGTTTCAGGATGCAACAAACCTTGAATGCCTCTTAGGTGATAACTTGGCCATGAATAGTTGGAGGGAAGTTCTGCTGTTGCTGAGATGCTATCCTGTCAAAGGCGTTTAATATGGTCATCCTGCTTGGCCTTCAAGGACGTCATCCCTGAAATAGCTTCTTTCCGCCATGGCGACCCAGCTCCACAGCGGTCCGTTGTGGTTGGGCTAACTGAAATAGCTTCTTCTTTGAAGAACATTGCACCGCACTCCTTGTTCTCAAGCGTTTCTCCATCATATGTTTTGCGTGTACACATGCAAATTGTTTCAGAGTAGCGTAGAACCTATGCTCCGGTGGAGTTTTACTTTGCTTCTCTGCTCAAGCATGTGACTGGATCGTTCAAGTCCTTGTATCTGTGACGGGCAAGAAGTGGCAGAGCTTAAGCCTAAGCTTCAAAGTTCGATGTTGCTCAGCCCATCGCTAGTAGGTTGGAGGCCCTTCCAAAACAAAAAAACTGCCGATTCACCGTCAATCACCGTGCAGGCACCAGATCGCCTCAGTCCCAGCACTCCAGGCTTACCACTGGCAGCGGGGCCCTGGCACCGGATCGTCGTTATGCAAAAGGAGAGCGGTATTGGTGACAGAGCTACCACAACCACCACAAGCCCTGCATTCCAGCCTTTGGCATTGGCATGTGAGCACCTTGGTCAAGGTAAACGGCGTTTCAGTTACGAATAAGCTCAATTGAAGAGACAAAAATGAGACAAAGGAGATGGACCTCCCAGCAGAAGCTTCTAGTAACAAGGGCATCGCTACTAGTGACAGGTGCATCGCTATTAGTAGCAAGAAGCTACTAGAAACAAGGGCGGCATTACTATATACTAGTCGCCATCGCTATTCCAAACTGCACGTTTTTTGCACTGAGTTCCCGGGCGCACGCTCGAACACCAGGTTCTGGAAGATCCGTTCCCTGGTCCAAACCATATGTTACTAGTAGCTTTTTGCTGCTAATAGCGATGCACCTGTTACTAGTAGCGATGCACCTTGTTCCTAGCAGCTTCTTGTTACTAGTAGTAATGCCCTTGTTACTAGTAGCGATGTTACTTCGTTCCGATGGTCTGCTTCCATAGGTTCCCATCAAGATGTATTTCCTTTGCTGAGAATCGTTTCACTATGACTTTTTTTTCAGAGAAAGGCACACAATGGTTTCAATCCTGGTACACTTATGTATATAGCTGTGCTGCCTTTTGCTGCCTTTTGCTGCTTTATGCTGCTTTGCTTTCGGAGAGGCCTCGTGCGAGAAGGACACGTGGACCGACCCTGGCCACAGTGGCCAAGCCTCCGAACCTTGCGGTCCAAGCGAAATGGCCAGCACTTCCCGCATTCAGCAAAACCCAGTCTTCAACATCTGATGTTCATGGCGAAAGTGCCTGTACGTAGCGTGTTGGAGATTTGAAGGCATTTAAAGGTTTTGAGGTTTGTGGCCATTCTCCGGTGTCAATGCCATTCTCGAATACAAACGAGTATTGGTAAAACCGGCCACTACAACAGCTCGTTCCTTGGTCAAACCTGATCAACTGCCACAGCTCGCTTGTTGCTTGGCGCTACACCTGCTCCTCCAGATGCAGCAACGCGGCCGGCCCATAAGACTCAACGCCACCCCCCAGGGCGAGGTCGCTCTATATATCTATTTGGCAGCTGGTGTCATTAATGCCATCTGTTGAGGTGCTAAGGTATGCGGGCCGCTTAATTAAGTGAGCTCAGCCTACTGGAACAAAAGCTAGGAAAGAACTTCCGAGTTTTTGTTGAAGCATCATGCAACGCTCAGGCGTCTTCAGTGAAAAGCTAAATCTGATGAGAATTGTTTTTTGGACCTACTACGGCTGCTTCTTTGCAAGCGTTGAAAAGCTCTCTTACTTGCAGCTGTGTTTTTGCTGAAAGGCCAAGCTGACCGAAACAACACCGGGCACTGTTCTCGCGAGGATCAGTCGCGTGCGTGCGCAAGCACTGAGAAAGCCTTTGTAAAAATATAACAGACCTGCCACCTGTTTGACTCATCAACTTCTCAAATCAAGATGTTTCCAAGTTAAACATGGGCAGTCGATGGCAGTCGGATCTGACCCACCTTGGCAGTCTAAGTTCCACGGGATCAAGTTGGCCGCACGCGTGTTCGTGGCGACCAACGGGGTCTTCGCAGAAGCGACCACCTGAAAGAAAACTGGCCCGACAGGCATGAGAGTTACAACAGAGTCTGGTTTTCATCTGATCAAAATGCCCGGAGTCTCCATGTTTCCTGCGCCCAGTTGCTTTGCCTGGAGTCGATGAGGGGCTACCTGTCCCACTCCTCGGGTCTTTCACCCCGGACATCGACTCGGACCGAAGAGGCGGCTTTTTTGATTGGAAAACGATTGAGCAAAGCCTTTGCCAATTGACCCTGTTCTGCCATGTTCTGCTGAGTGGAGGAGTGAATGACACTGAATGCACTGCTGATTCTGATTCATACCGAAAGAATAAGGGCCCAGGTAGCCCACGGGCAAATGTCGTAAGATACCTAGTCTAGAGTCTACGATGAGTAAATGTTAATTTGACCGGTCAGACCGGTCATAAAAGTGAGAAAGCTTCGGTAGAAAGACACGCCATGTAGCAACAAAAATACCTTTCTTGAGGTTTTGAGACATCCAAACCAAAAAAACAGACGTGTAGCAACAAGTAGCAACAAATAGTACCAGATAGCAACACACGAGGCACGAGAACCGTCAGTGCCTGGGCCCCCCGGCGGTATAAATGTCGGGCGACGAGGGCCGTCACGGCTGCGGCGGCTGTTGTGCGTGCCTGAAGTCAGTGGGGAGTGAGACCTCCACATATTTGGTGGGTCGCACCAGGAGACCTTGGACCTGCCGACGTGGGCCTACATGGAGGGCCGCTCCAGGTGGGTCACGACCCTGGCACCCACCGTACAACTCTGGCACCGTCCGCACGTCGAATGGCAATCTGAGCTGTCAACGGGCACGGATCCTTCAATGACCAAGAGCTGCTCGCCTTCGACATCAGGCCCCATGGGATGGTTTCATGAGATTGGTCCATGTTCTATGCGCGTTCAATGGTCTTCTTCACTGAACCTTGTTACTAGTAATTAGCTTCTTGTTAGTAGTTGTAATGCCAGGAGCTACTAGTAGCTTCTTGCTCCGTTCGTAGCAATGCATGTTGTTACGTTCGTAGCGAACCTTGTTGCAGAAAACGCTTTCACCAGCTCGATCTGCAACGAAAAGACCGCCTTCACAAGGTCCAGCCACTACCGCTGCATCTGAGGCTCCATATTTCAGAGCCTACAAACGAAAAGCCATCCAAAGCCTGGTGTTTGAAAAACCGCCCAAACCTGGTCGAAACTCCTTTATATAGGCTGGTAGCTATGTATTGGTCGTTTGGGCAGCCCTCCAAGACAGATGGTCACTCTTCATGTGCTATGCCCAGTTCCCAGCTCCTCGGCAGCACAGCTTTGGGCGAGGTACTCCTGCACCAAATTTTTCCGAATGCCTCTTGAATCATGGATATATATATATATAATATTTACCAGTGGACTGAGGAGTGACTGGTCTTTTGCTCAGTTTTGGTACTTTTGGGGTCCTACATGATCATACTCATAGTCATACCAATTCATGCAATCCTCAAGGGATCTCAAAGGGGATCTTTCAACCATCTCGCATGAACCTCAAAGGTTGATGCGCTGGCACGAATGCAACTAAAAAACGCAGCCAAGTCGAGCAGCCAAGAAAAGTCCTCTCGGAAAAAGAAAGAGATAAAGAGACCCCCAAATAGATGGAAAAGTAAAATCCGTTCAATAAGTATTGGAAACCATTTCTGTCTGTTTGGAGACCACTATAAAGAGTGCTTTTCAGCCATGGGCCATGGGGCGCGGAAGTTCTACCGACTCTGCCACGGCGGAAGACACCGACTCGCAGGCGCTCCGGCACCAAAATCTGGGTCCCTTTCGGTGCCAAAGCTTCAGGAATCCGTGCCAGCTCGGTGATGAGCAGCTCTAGCCCATCCTGGCTCCATCCGCTGGTGAGGGATCCAAAAGTGGAAAAAATACTAGGATCGACATCAAAATAAATATTCCAAGGATGTTCAAGGGGATGTTCAAAAGGAAAGGAACAGGAAAAAACTGTGCACTTCGTAGCAGGCACAATTTTGAACCTTAATGTGTAGAGTTCGTGGCAATCGCAGCACTTGGTGGACCTCGAAGTGAAATTTTGTGGCAAGCGCAGCACATGGTGGACCTCAAAATGCAAACTTCGTGGCATGCGCAGCACTTTGCACCTTGATGTGCAGATCATTTGGTGTATGCACACTCCTGTGAGGCGCAGACCTTGTGAATCTCAGATTGCAGATTTTGTGTCAAGCTAGATGTTTGGTGCATGTGCGCTCTCATGTGTGTGTGTGCTCTCATATTGTACTCTCATGTGAGTGCTGACATGAAAAATAAACACCCAAAAAGGAAACAAGAAAAGGATAGCGGGGCGACGAAAGGCAAAGAAACCAGAAAAGTAAAAGCGATGAAGAAGCAGTTTTGAATGGAAATGCTCTATATTGCAGGAGGCATACAGTGGATTGACCTTTAAATTTGGGTTTTTGTGGCAGGCAAGGCGGATGCTTTGGAAGAAGTAGGGCAGGGCGCAGCATCTCCCCCAGCTGGGTGTAAATGGTGGGTCGACCTCCAAAGATTGCCGTTTTTCGCGGCAAGTGCGATGCTCTGGAAGTAGTGCAGGTTTGCTAGATGGGAGGTTGTCTGGACGGGAGCAGCGCCCCCCCCAGAGCGAAGCAAAAAACACAGGCAATCTGTGGAAGTCGCAGCAACAAAAAAGCGTTCATGACACAACTCTCGCGCTTTTTCGCAAAATGCACGAAACACCCCAAGACCATCAGTTGATGTCAATAGACTACTCTTGAAGGAGCAAGAGGCCGAGAAGAAACAAAGAAGAAAACGCCCGACCAGAACAGGACCAGAACAAAGGACCAAATCAGCAAACCAAGCGCCAAACGATGGGCCCACTGGACTAAGGGATTTCTGATCCTCTCCATCCGCCCGTGGAACGTAGCGAGACGCAGAAAACGAATGCAAACTCTACGATGGCTGGTCCTGACAGATCGGTGGGTTTCGTGATTTCTTTCCGAAGCTTCTGACTGATGGTGTTAGTCAGCAGTTAAACAGTCTCACATGTTTCAAGCTCCATTCTTTTTTCATGTGGTTACCAGGACCACAACTGTCGCGACCCCCTATCAACCGACAAAGTTCTTGATGTCAGTCGCGCCCCTGTCCACATGTCCGTCGCCTGAAGCTCCACGGGGGGCCCACGGAGCTCCAAGAGCCGCTGGGACGAATCCAGCTCGTGGACTTGAATCTGCACCTGGATCCAACGTTCCGACAGGACGCTGGGGAGGCAGGGCGTGAAGTGCTTGAGGCGGCTTTTTCAGCTCCTCACAGTGTTTGTGTTTAACGGTCCACACACTAGCTGCCTAGCTCATCCCCTAGCTGCTCAGAGTGTGAGGCTTGATTCACCAGAACCGGACAGCACACGCCGTGTGTATGCTCGCCCAAATCACGCATGTCCAAGGGACTCCGCTATCTTCCTGCAGCATCTTGATCCTCTTTCCACCTGGCATGGAACGCCAGCAAACTTGTGAAAAATCCCACTCTTCTCGTTGGACATCCATGGGCGGTGACCAAAGAAACTTCTGGGACCATCTAGAACCTTGGATGGTTAGTGGCCACTGGAATGGTCTTGTGAACCAAACGAGTGTTTTGAGATGTTTTGAGCCAAACGCTTGCCTGACGTGCTTCCCCGGATCGCCTGTGCTTCGGATCGACCTGTGGTGAAAACACCAAACGCCAAACGATCGGCCCGTGTTTTCAGACGCCTCGACCAATGAGCAACCCCGCCGCATGAACATTCATGACCAAGTTGGTGAGCCATTCGCTGCCAGGAGGCCGCAAGGCCTGTGACAGAGAGCACGGCTGCAGCTTTCACTAGAGTGAGAAAGCACGTAAAGGTGACCTGCCGAAAGAAGGTTTTGCAATGGCCCAGACAATGGTGCTTGGCCCTTTCAGAAAAATATCTCTCAAAGTTCAGGCCAAAGTCCTAGAATGTGACCATGCAGAAGTCATGGTTTCGTTGAGAAGAAAGCATCTGAGAAAGACCCGTGGCCCGGCAGGCCACTCGTTTGACCCGGCCTTGGGTGCTGGCCTCCGATCATCCAGTCCAGCAGGCCACTCGAATGAAGTGCTCCAGCAGCTCATCAGGCCTAAACCGAGTCTCGAGCACCGTCTCGTGCACGTCTCATGCATGGGCAAAGAACAGGAATCACCCACGGCGCTCACGAGCTGCTGATCTCATTCATCTCATTCATCGCATTCATCTCATTCATCTCATCTTCTCCTGCTCTTTGCGCTTCAAGTGGGCTTGGCCGCCCAGCCTTCTCACAGCCCTGCTCTGCGGCACCATTGCGGTGGCTTATGTACTACTGTAATTCTGTTCTGCCTCCCGAACAGCCGCATAGCCTTGGCAATCTTACAAATCAAACCGGTGCGCACCATCCTTGGTGGTCCTGTCCTGCCCATCTGCTTCCATCGAATTGCAGCTCGCCCCAAAATTATGGAACGCAAAGTTTAAGTGTGAAGAGCAAAAACAAACT